GGGGGGTACCCGGACTCTTGGCTGGAGACTTTTTATTCTTGTTGGGGCGAGTGACCTTGGTTCGATTCCTGGGAGCGGCATCTGATAAACCACTACCGTCGCCATGTGGCCCTCCGTGGTTACCATCCATCCCGTCGCCAGCGAACGAAAACTGAATGTTGCAGTCGTAGTCCTTCGCCGGAACCCAACCAGCCGGGAGGCAGTTGGGTGTGGTAACCACTTGCTGTTTGTCCGTAAGCGAAGTTAGGCGAAACTTGAGCGGCGCCTGAAGGAATGATTCGTACACCCAATTCGCACCCCAGTCGTGTCGCATCGGTCTCCACGTAGGCGAATTTGAGTCCATCACCTCGACAAGCGAAAGGTCGCCGGGACCCGCGACTTGGCGAATCAGAAGGTTCAGCCAAAAAGGCGACCCGGTAGCGGTGAGGCGAATGTTGTTGGAGAAGACACATGGCACTCTGTGATTGGAAAACAAGAAAATGAGCAACGAGTGTTGATTGAGGGCACTACCCGATATTAAGGGGGTGGGGACAAATAACATGAAGGCCAATCGACAAAACGAACTTCAACGGTGTGCTTGAGTCTAAATGAGAGTAACAAATGGAACGTGGAAGTTTCAGTAGCGAGTTCCCTCATATCGGAGACTTACTGTTCGTAGGCGAGGGGAACGAAGCCGGCGGCGCGGTTCGCAAGCGCGATAAAAGCAGGTTCGCTTAGGTCGAAGTGGCGACAGGTGGGGCAACACCAACCCCCGCCAGGACAGAGATCCGTTATAGCGACCACGATGGATACGCCCTTGTTGCAATACGTGCTGTTGGTACACGATATCCTGTGATAAGATAGAACGGCCCGTTCGAGGAAAGAAAAGATCGGGGGAAGGGGAGAAAAGGAATAATGCGGGGAAGCGTTGGAGAGAAGAGAGCACAGGAGGGAAAAAGCCCGGGACGGGAAGAATAGGGGGAGACAAGAGGGGAGGGCTCTTCAACTTGAAATTGGGGACCGTAACAACACCACAAATGATAGACTTAACGAGTCACAGAGTTAGACATACGACCTCAGGGCTCTTCTACTTGAAATTGGGGACCGTAACAACACCAAGAAAGCTGGCGATGCGTGAGGTCGTGATAGACTGGATGTTGTGACAAAAAGGAGCGAACACGTACCGGTAGCAAGCGCCGCATCCCTTCCCGCCCTTGTAAAGAGGGGGACTCCCCGCCGCGACGAGGATGCCGTAACCGGCTTGCACGAGATTCCCGTAACCGCAGTTACCACCTGCAGCGAATGCCGTTCAATAAAGCGTTAGACATACGACTTCATCGTCCGCAGTTACCACTTGCTAGGCGAAAAGGGACAGGCAACCTGGCGAAGAGCTGACTCTGGTAACGTCAAGTTGTGCTCTACTACATACTGGCCCTCAACAGCATTCGCTCGATTTAGCCCCACGATCCAACCCCTCTCAACCTCTTGCAACCGTAAAACGCACCCCAAGTGCCCGACGCGTCGGGTCCGCCGTAAAACGTGGCCATTGCGCCTCCCGGAGCGCCGTACGCTGCGGCGCGTGATGCGGAGAGGACGAACGTCGCGAGCACACATAGCAGGAGAGTGCTGGGAGAGAGCAGGCGGAGGGGGGGGCGGAGGCGAGAGGCGGGGGGCGGATGCGATGGCGGAGAACATATGCGCCGAGGGGGACCCATGGCGCGTGGGAAGTTGTGGCGGAAAGTGTTGCGCTTTTGTCCGCCGATGTTTCGTTCGCGGTGCTGCTTGGCTACAATATGAAAGTATAGAGAAATTTTGTCTGTGTCGTGTACTGCGGCTTCTTAAAACGGGTATGGGGACGTCGCCCTCACTTTGGGAATCAGAGAGTCCAGGGACAGTTCCTACTCTAGGGCTAACAACAACTAGGAGAAACTCGCTGCATCTTTCGACGCAATGCGCGACGTACTCCTACGAAGAGCATGTAAGTGGTTACGCACGTGCGGCGAGGGGCCTACGCACTGGGTGCGAGAGGTTTCGCTGCGACCGGGTGCGGCTGAGGCAGAGGCCGACGCTTTTACTGCGGTGGGTGATGATTGTAATGACGGTCGTTGTGTGAGAATGGTGTGTATAATGCCCCCAAGATGGAACCACTCTGCAAGAGAGCAGCCGCAGCGGGAAGGCCAGGAGAGAGCGGTAGTAAGGGAGGTGCGAGGGGAATAACGAGCCAGGAGTGAGGGCCCAGGCAATGAGAGGCACGAGGAGATGAGAGGCACGAGGAGATGAGAGGGACAAGGAGATGAGAGGCACGAGGAGATGAGAGGCACGAGGAGATGAGAGGCACGAGGAGATGAGAGGCACGAGGAGATGAGAGGATCGAGGAGATGAGAGGCACGAGGAGAACTACAGAGAGCCAGGGGAGCGGCACGACCAGGCCACGACAGACGAGTCCGGCTTATCCGTCGAGAATGAAAGCTGCGGAGAGAGCTTTCACCTGGAAAGTCGGGAGCGAGGCATCAAGGACCACAAGGGTGTTACTCTAAGCACGTTTCACGACAACGAACGAACGAGCAGCCTCTAGAGAGGGGCTATGCTTATTGAGGCACCTCAGGTAGCGATGTCTCAAAGACCGAACAGGGGAATGAAACGCTTGTCATTCAAGCACGTCGCTCATCTGGTAACAGGGGAGGCTTTTCTCCTAGTACAGCCTGTGTAGGCTTGAATGCCTGCTACTCGGGTCGGGTCGGGAGGACACGTGGACCCATAGAGACTGGGAATGAGGAGCTTGGATCTGGGACGGCTTGTCGGATCAAAGGAACCTAGGCTCGAACCTACCTGACCTGACTCAGGTGGTAGTGGCAAGTTGCGTGCTGCGGCTAAATCAGCTAGACTTAGGCTCTGGCCGTATTCCCCTCGAAGAGTTTCGTTCGTTGCGATTCCTATACGAGGGGATTGATTGATGGCTCCCGCAGGTCGCATCGCCTCGCCCTGGCTTCTTTTCCCATTGGCCGCACGGACAAGCGCTAGTCCCACCGCGTGTCGCGCAAGCGATCGGAAATCCACGTGGGTGTTTGTGGAGGGTGCGAGGGGAGGGAGGATGACAGCGAAAAAGGGGCCAGTTTGTGGCGCGTAGGCTGAATATGCACTGTTGGCTTGAGTGGAACGTGCAATTGTGCTGTGTCTGACTGAAGGAGCTTGGAAGGTGCTCCTTCAAGCTGTCGACTGCGATCAGCGAATGGTTTTGCGCCAATTTGTTAGGTGGAGGTAAAGAAAGAGTTTTAATTGGGTTTAAAACGTTTCTGGATATACTGGGTTAGGTTACGAGGGTTTCGGGAGGAACAAAATTGCGTGGAAGCTTTATGGAGTTCCGCTATGCCCCCCATCAGATTTCCATTCCGCACAGTCGATGAAATTGGTTTGATCAGATGCTTCACATTGGACCGTCGCGCCTCGTCATGGGCGATTCGGATCTGGATGTGGCGAAGAGGTGAGGAATGTTTCTGTTCCGTTCAGTTTCATCCACTTTTTTGGTATCATTCCTATCACATTGACGATTTCCGCTTACTGCTTGCGCAATTCGCACCCTAAAACCTTTCTTTGGGAAGAATTTAGGGAGCTACGGGCTGCCCTGGTTACCGTTCCCGTGCTGGTGATAGTTGCGGTGCGCAAACCGTGGCGCTCGTCAAAGCTACGCGCGACGACGGCTGCGAAATTCGCTCAAGGACTGACCACGTTTGGACACTTCGACGGCGCATTTCGCTTGTTTGTCAGATTCGTTGACGGAACTGCGCACCTCAAACGTCCATAAATCCCGCAGTCGATATTTTGCGAAACGCCACCCCTATTCAAAATCGTGCGCTTTCGCTTCGCCCCAAACAGCGAATAGTTTTTTCGCGGCTCCATCTCATCCACATTCGCTTTTGATATGGAACGAGTACACTCAACACTGATAGAACCCATTGAATCCATTACAGAGGTTAACCCGATACTCAAATAGGAAAGCATGTAATCAACAAATTCGTTTCCGCATGCTTGTAGAAATTACTCACAAACGCGTTTGTCCTTAGCGAGAATGTGCTACTGTTTATCAACTTGTCTGGTGATTTCTCCAAACCGTGACATTTCAAGGTGACATGGCGCCTCTCGCGTCGTCGATTGCGCCGCGTAACCCGGTAACCGGCTTGGCGTCAGTTCTTCCGGCCACCCGGCAATCTCAACTCCCAGATGCCACGTGGCAGTCACGAGCACGTCACCCAGTTCTGAGCCACACTGGCCGCATTATTCCTTCACGTGGCTCGAATCTCTTGCCGCATTCCGCATTTCACGGGATCAAGTTGCAAAACATTATCCGCGTTAGTAGCTCGGACGCTCAAGGCAGTCGTTTTTCTGCTAGTCGCGGACCTGTACGCTTCGTGAGATCGCTGTATGTCGACGAGGACGATAACGGGAATTTCTATATCGAGGATGACGACGACGGCAGTGGATTAATCGACGCGCCCGTATCAGTCGGCGACGGCTTCTCGTTTGTTGGCGGTACGCATGCTCTAATATCGAAACTAGGTTGAATGCTGCTGCGAATGCTGCTGCTGGCACTGTTGCTAATTCAAGGGTTACTGATTTGAATGTTGCCAATTCGAGTGTTCCTGATACAAATGTAGCTAACTCTACTATTTCTTATACGACTTTGATTAAATTCTAGCACTACTATCGCGAATGCTGCTAACGAATGGATTTGGGCCTCTTCCATTGGCTGACACTAGTCAAGCAGGTGGTGGCAGGGCGAGAGTTGGACATAGGGTGAAAACGGGACCAAGAACCGATAACAAGGGGGAATTCGATTCTTTGCTCCTATTTCTCCTCCTCCCCTCCTCGCGTAGGTTGCTGGCGCTCGCAATGCAGGTGGTGGCAGGGCAGGGCGAGAGTGGGCAGGGCTTGAAAAGGGATATAGGAACAAAAACAAGGGGGAATTTGATTATCTACCCCTATTTCTCCTCTTCCTCTCCTCGCATAGGTTGCTGGCGCTCGCAATGCAGGTGGTGGCAGGGCAGGGCGAGAGTGGGCAAGGCGAGAGTGGGCAGGGCGAGAGTGGGCAGGGCGAGAGTGGGCAGGGCGAGAGTGGGCAGGGCGAGAGTGGGCAAGGCGAGAGTGGGCAAGGCGAGAGCGGGCAAGGCGAGAGTGGGCAGGGCGAGAGTGGGCAGGGCGAGAGTGGGCAAGGCGAGAGTGGGCAGGGCGAGAGTGGGCAAGGGGGGGAAAGGCAACAGAGAAGCAGCAACAGGAGAGCTGTACCTTCTTTCTCCCATTCCCGCCTTTTCCCACAGGGAAATACGCCGAAGGGGGCGGCAGGGCAGAGGAGTGGGAGGAGCGGAGGAGGGTGGTGGTGGTGGCTGGTAAAGGAGAAGGGGCAGCAGGGGGGAAATCTGAATTCTCTACCTTCCTCCCCTTCAGGGGGGGAGGGGCAGGAGGGGCAGCAGGGGGGAAATCTGAATCCTGTATCCTCCTCCTCCCCCCCTCCCCCCCCATTCCACAGGGAAATACGCCGAAGGGGGTGGCAGGGCGGAGGAGTGGGAGGAGAGGGGGAGAGTGGTGGCGGTGGCGGGGGGGGAAGGGGCAGCAGGCGGGGTGCAGGAGGTGCGGGATCCTGTGTTCGGGCTGCGCATGGGGGAGGGCTTTCAGGCCTCTTCCGAGGGGCTCAGGTGAGGGAAAAAGCAAGGGGAGTGCAGGAGGTGGGATCCTGTGTTTGGGCTGAGGATGGGGTAAGGCTTTCAGGCTTCCTCTGAGGGGCTCAGGTGAGGGGAAAGGGGAAGCAGGCAGCAGGCGGGGTGCAGGAGGTGCGGGATCTTGTGTTCGCGCTGAGGATGGGGGAGGGATTTCAGGCTTCCTCTGAGGGGCTCAGGTGAGTTCTCAGGTGGTTTTTCAGGTGAGGCAGGGGGGATGCAGGAGGTGCGGGATCCTGTGTTCGCGCTGAGGGTGGGGGAGGGCTTCCAGGCCCCTTCAGAGGGGCTCAGGTGAGGGGAAAGGGGAAAGCAGGCGGGGTGCAGGTGGTGCGAGGGGGAGGGCGGCGGGTGAAGCGGCAGTAGGGAGAATGCAGGAGGTGTGGGACCCTGTGGGCTGGCTGAGGATGGGGGAGGGCTTTCAGGCTTCCTCAGAGGGGCTTAGGTGAGGGAAGCAAACGGAGTGCATGAAGGGCAAGAGGTGAAAGGGCAGTAGGGAGAGTGCAGGAGGTGCGGGACCCTGTGGGCTGGCTGAGGATGGGGGAGGGCTTTCAGGCTTTCTCTGAGGAGCTCAGGTGAGGGGTTAGCAGGGGGGTTGCACGAAAGGCGGGTGAAGGAGTTGGTGGGCCGGAGTTGGTGGGCCGGAGTTGGTGGGCAGCAGGCGGGGTGCAGGAGGTGCGGGACCCTGTGGGCTGGCTGAGAATGGGGGAGGGCTTTCAAGCCTTTTCAGGGGGCTCAGATGAGGGAAAGGCTCAGATGAGGGAAAGGCTCAGATGAGGGAAAGGCTCAGATGAGGGAAAGGCTCAGATGAGGGAAAGGCTCAGATGAGGGAAAGGCTCAGATGAGGGAAAGGCTCAGATGAGGGAAAGGCTCAGATGAGGGAAAGGCTCAGATGAGGGAAAGGCTCAGATGAGGGAAAGGCTCAGATGAGGGAAAGGCTCAGATGAGGGAAAGGCTCAGATGAGGGAAAGGCTCAGATGAGGGAAAGGCTCAGATGAGGGAAAGGCTCAGATGAGGGAAAGGCTCAGATGAGGGAAAGGCTCAGATGAGGGAAAGGCTCAGATGAGGGAAAGGCTCAGATGAGGGAAAGGCTCAGATGAGGGAAAGGCTCAGATGAGGGAAAGGCTCAGATGAGGGAAAGGCTCAGATGAGGGAAAGGCTCAGATGAGGGAAAGGCTCAGATGAGGGAAAGGCTCAGATGAGGGAAAGGCTCAGATGAGGGAAAGGCTCAGATGAGGGAAAGGCTCAGATGAGCTTTGCGGCGCCTCAGAACTCGTCTCGTTTCAGGCAGCAGGGGGAGTGCAGGAGAGGTGGGGGGAACGAGCGGGGGGGTAGGGACGCAGGCGGAGTGCAGGAGGTGCGGGATCCTGTGTTCGGGCTGAGAATGGGGGAGGGATTTCAGGCTTCCTTTGAGGGGCTCAGGTTAGCTCTCAGGTGGTTTTTCAGGTGAGATGGAGGGATGGGGGTGGTGGCCGCTGCACAAGACGGGGGAAGGCTGAATCCTTGGGCGGGGAGTGCAGGGGCGAAGGAGGGAGGGTAAAGCAAGAAAACTAGTTTCCCCTTGCTGCTTGCTTCCCCACCTTGCTCCCACCCACTGCAGGTGGTTTGTCATTGACACACAAGCAGATGAACCCGCACCTCCTTCCCCCTCCTCCTCTCCGCCTCTCCTCCTCCTCCACGGCCTCCCCTCTCACAGCTACTCTTTCCGCCAAGTTATCAACACCATCAACCCTGGGACCTTCGCCCTCACCAGCAGTGCAGCAGCGGCAGGAGGAGGAGGAGGTTCGGCCGAAGCGGGAGGGCTAGGTTCGGAGGAGGCGATCGGCGTGCGGTGCGTGGCGCCGGATTGGCTCGGGTTCGGAGGCTCGGATAAGCCCCAGGCAGACCAGAAGAGGTTCGGGTATTCCCCGAGTGACTACGCTCGGGAACTTGGAAATCTGGTGGCAACGATGGGAGTGGAGGATGTTTCTGTTGTAGCCCAGGTGAGAAGGGAGTGAGGGAGTGAGGGAGTGAGCAAGTAAAGGAAAGAGGTTAATGTACTAGCGGGTCAGAAGAGTTTTGCGTATTCCCCGAGCGAGGTGACTTCTGAGTCGACTCAAATGTTTCCTCGAGCGACTACAGTCGAGAGCTGGGAAAGCCGGTGGATGTTTCCATTGTGGCCCAGGTAATAAGGGAGTGAGGGAGTGAGGGAGTGGGGGCTTTTGAGTCGACTCAAATGTTTCCTCGAGCGACTACAGTCGAGAGCTGGGAAGGCTGGTGGCTGGCAACAACGGGGGTGGGCGATGTTTCCATTGTGGCTCAGGTAAGGAGGGAGTGAGGGAAAGAGGAAGGTTCTAGCAATCCAGACCAGAAGAGGTTCGGGTTTTCCCCGAGGGACTGTGCTCTTGACCTGCAGGGGGTTCGGGTGGCAACGATGGGAGTGGAGTATGTTTCCATTGTAGCTCAGGTGAGAAGGGAGTGAGGGAGTGAGGGAATGAGGGAATGAGGGAGTGAGGGAAGGGAGTGAGGGAGTGAGGGAGTGAGGGTTGCAGTGAAGGGAGAGTGGGGTCCTTGTGGGTGGGAAGCTGGGGAGGCTGGTGGCAATGATGGGAGTGGAGTATGTTTCCATTGTGGCTCAGGTGAGGGAGTGAGGGAGTGAGGGAAAGAGGTTGGGGTAATAACCTCAAGCTAACCAGAAGATGTTGACTTGAGGGTATTCCACGAGGGACTATGTGCGGGAGTTCAGTTGACTTTTGAGTCGACTCAAAAGTCAACTCAGAAGATGTTGACTTGAGGGTATTCCACGAGGGACTATGTGCGGGAGGGAGCTGGGGTGGCTGGTGGCAATGATGGGAGTGGACAATGTTTCTCTTGTGGCTGTTTCTGTTGTGGCTCAGGAGAGGGAATGGGGAAAAGATTTCAAGGTGTGAGGGTGGCAAATCCTTTCGTTTTCCGCTCAGATATTACCTCTTCCCAATGCCTTCCCGTTTTCTTTCTCTCTGCCCGACTTTATCCCACGCAGGGCTATTTCTGTCTGCCCGCTGCTGAATTTGTCCTTTCCAACCCTGCCCGGATTCGCCACCTCATATTTATCAACCCACCTGTAAGTGACACAGCTAAGTGTCACATGTGAGTGTCGCATGTGAGTGTCGCATGTGAGTGTCGCATGTGAGTGTCGCATGTGAGTGTCACATGTGAGTGTCACATGTGAGTGTCACAACTGCTAGCCTAAAATATTACAGCAACTAAGTGGCACAGATTCGTGTTCACGTTATGGGCAAGATGTTTCGGGGTCGCGACACACTCCGAGTGTTTTTCTCTCTTTCTTTCTTTCTTTCTTTCTTTCTTTTTTTCTTTCTTTCTTTCTTTCTTTCTTTCTTTCTTTCTTTCTTTCTTTCTTTCTTTCTTTCTTTCTTTCTTTCTTTCTTTCTTTCTTTCTTTCTTTCTTTCTTTCTTTCTTTCTTTCTTTCTTTCTTTCTTTCTTTCTTTCTTTCTTTCTTTCTTTCTTTCTTTCTTTCTTTCTTTCTTTCTTTCTTTCTTCCTTCCTTCCTTCCTTCCTTCCTTCCTTCCTTCCTTCTTTCCTTCCTTCCTTCCTTCCTTCCTTCCTTCCTTCCTTCCTTTCTTCCTTCCTTCCTTCCTTTCTTTCTTTCTTTCTTTCTTTCGTTCCTTCTTTCTTTCTCTTTCTTTCTGTTAACTCGTTCACACAATATTTTTTCGATTGATCTTTGGACATTCTCAAAAGTTACTGATGAGGCTACTCTTCACGTTTCATGCCTCTTCTCCCACGCCTTGAGAAGAATCAAAAGTCATATTCCCCCATTCCCACCCCTCCTAGTTTTTGAGAATTCTCAAAAACCTTCTCCCACTCCTTGAGAAGACTCAAAAGTCATATTCCCCCATTCCCACCCCTCCTAGTTTTTGAGAATTCTCAAAAACCTTCTCCCACGCCTTGAGAAGACTCAAAAGCCATATTCCCCCATTCCCACCCCATCCTAGTTTTTGAGAATTCTCAAAAACCTTCTCCCACGCCTTGAGAAGACTCAAAAGTCATATTCCCCCATTCCCACCCCTCCTACCCTCGCTGCTTCCTCCTCCTCTCTCTCCCCCATCCCTCCCTCCTCCCAACCAATCCGATCACAGAAAATTTTCTAGTCGACTCAAAATGCGTGCTTGGCTGCGTTTGCTCCCTGCTGTCGTGTCAACCCCTCTCTCCTCCCTCCTTCCACCCACCCTCCACCCACCCTCCCCCTACCCACCCATTTCAGATCACAGACAAGCACGCCAAGCTGCCCTCGTGCCTGTCGGCCTTCTCCAACTTCCTGCTGGGAGAGATCTTTGCACAGGTATGGCCTCCTTGCTGCATGTGCTGCCTGCTGCGGCCTGCGTGCTGCACCTGCTGCATACTACCTGGTAGGTCGGTCTTCCCTGAGAGCACGCCAAGCTGCCCTTTTGCCTCTCGGCCTTCTCCAACTTCCTGCTCGGAGAGATCTTCGCCCAGGTAGGGATTGATGTGTATACCTGCCTGCACGTGGTAGGGTTACCTGCTTGCTGCTTGCTGCCTGCTGCTTCTTGCTCTTTGTTCCCTGAGAGCACCCCAAGCTGCCCTCATGCCTGTCGGCCTCCTCCAACTTCCTGCTTGGAGAGGAAAAATCCAGTGGTGGTAGGGACCCGCCGACCCTACGAGGTGACTTTTGAGTCGACTCAAAAGTAGTGGTAGGGACCCGCCGACCCTACCTTCATCCATTGGTAGGGTAGGAAAAATCCGCTGCCCCTCTTTTCCCTTCCTCCCCCGCGTCACCTAGTGGCAGGACCCGCTACGTGCTAGCGATCGGGCACTGGAGGAAGCAGGGTGTACATAACTTCAGTGCCCGATCGGCTGTTATGCACGGAAGTTACATAGCACCCGGTCAGCTGTTCCGGCTGTAATCAATGAGGAGGATGCCATGGTGTTCCGGCTGCAATCAATGAGGAGGATGCCCTGGTGTACCGCCCACCCCTCTCCCCTCACTCCTATGTGGAGAAAGACGCTGGACGCTAGTTTAGGGCCCCCGAGACGCAGCAAAAGACGCAGGTCCGGGCAGCCAAAAAAACCCCCCCGGGCAGCCAAAAAAAAAGTTATAGGGCAGAGGGAAGAGGGGGTAAGAGGGGGCAGGGGGGGGGGGGGAACACACTTTCATAGCAAAATTTCTCCTCAACAACAAAATTTCAGCCACAACAATAGAACATGAAGGTGAGCCCCAAATTTCCATAATCACAATTAGTCCAAGGGTTGTTTAGCATGCATGCATACTACCACTAACTAACATGCATCACTCATCCTCCTCGCTCTCCATCCCCTTCTCCTCCTCCTTCTCCAAATCCTCCTGCTCCTTGTACTCGTCGAAGGTGAGGTCATCCTCATCCACCTCCACCTCTCCATCCTCCTCAAGCTTGTACCCCTCGGGAAGGGGTCGGGGGGGAATGTTCCCCTCCACTATTCCCGCCTTCCTGACTTCCCCACTCGGCCCCGCACCCGCCGCACCCTTGTGGTGGTTGTGCACAACGTTCCAGTTGTGCGCAACGAACACAAGGTCGCGAACACAAGGAGCTAGCCATAACGGTGGTGTGCGGAAAGGAGCTAAAACCACTAGGGTTTTTGAAAGAGAATTGGGTTGTGAGAAAAGGGAGCACAAATGAGAGGTTTCATGAACTAAATGGGCTTTGTGGGGGTGGTGGACCACAAAGGTTGGGTTTCCTAGTTGTGGAGTGGTGGAGAGGGGTTGGATTTCCAAATCAATTTTGCAAAAAGGGGAGGGGGTTAGGGGTGAATTAGATGGCTGGTTTTGGGGGTCGAATTTGCTTGGGGGGTGTCGAATTTCGGCGAAATTGACATTCGCGACGAAATCGCGAATGTCAATTTCGCGATCGCGAAAAAAAAAAAAATCTCGGTCTGCCCGAAAAATTTTCCAGGGTGCGTCCTGCGTCCGGACGCGCGTCCTGCGTCTTTGCGTCCGGACGCTGCGTCCGGACGCAGGACGCAGGGCTGCCCCAGCGTCTTTCTCCACATAGCCTCACTCCCCTCATTGTCCTCCCGCTCTCCCTCCAGCTCGTGGCAGGACCCACTGAGAGCCAGTGATCGGGTGCTGGAGGAAGCACGGCTGTTATCTAATCAGTGAGGAGGATGCAATTGTGTACCGCCGGCCGTACCTCGCCAGTGTCCCACCCACCTCTCTCGCCTTGCTCCTCTTGCTCCTCCCTCTTCACCTGCTGCTGGCAGGACCCACTGAGAGCCAGTGATCGGGTACTGGAGGAAGCACGGCTGTTATCTAATCAGTGAGGAGGATGCAATTGTGTACCGCCCACCCTACCTTGGCACTGTCCCACCTCCCTCTGTCCGCTCCCCTCTGCTGCACTCTCCCTCGTCACACGATCATGCAGGACCCTCTGAGAGCCAGCGATTGATTGCTGGAGGAAGCAGGGTGTTACCTGATCGTTGAGGAGGATGCAACGGTGTAGCGTCCTCACTCCCCCCTTAATCTACCTTCATTTTTTTCTGATGACAGGACCCTCTGAGAGCCAGTGACAGGGTGCTGGAGGAAGCAGGGTGCTACCTAATAGACGAGGAGGATGCCATGGTGTGCCGCCGGCCCTACCTTGGCAGTGTCCCACCTCCCATGCCCTCCTTGCGCCTCCCATTTCCCCAAATGCAGGACCCTCTGAGAGCCAGTGACAGGGTGCTGGAGGAAGCGGGGTGCTACCTGGTAGACAAGGAGGATGCCATGTTGTACCGCCGGCCCTACCTTGCCAGTGCCTCACCCCTTTACCATCCCGTCAATCTCTCTCTCCCCTCACGTCCACCCTTCACCACGTGCCAGGATCCACTAAGAGCCAGTGATCGAGTGCTGGAGGAAGGGGTGCTATCTAATCGACGAGGAGGATGCAGTGGTGTACCGCCGACCCTACCTCGCCACCCATTCACCTTCTGGGCTCTCCCCTTGTTTTGAGACGTCTCAAAACACTCCTTTTTTCACCTCGCCACCCATTCACCGTCTGGGCTCTCCCCTTGCTCCTCGTTCTCCAACTGCTGACTTTTGAGTCGACTCAAAAGCAGACCCTACCTCGCCACCCATTCACCTTCTGGGCTCTCTCCTTGCTCCTCGTTCTCCAACTGCTGGCAGGACCCGCTACGTGCGAGCGATCGAGTGCTGGAGGAGGCCGGCTGTTACCTGATCCACGAGGAGGATGCAACGGTGTACCGCTGGCCCTACCTCACTCCCCTTGCCCCTCTCACATCCCCTGCTGGCAGGACCCGCTACGTGCTAGCGATCGGGTACTAGAGGAGGCCGGCTGCTACCTGATAGACGAGGAGGATGCAATGGTGTACCGCCGGCCCTACCTCGCCAGTGGTGCCTCGGGGTTTGCACTCACATCCATCACCCGAGCGTTTCAGAAGGATCTCAAGGTACGCAGAGCGGTTGGGATGGGTTTTGAGCTCACAGCAACTGCACCTATCCCATGGCGCATGGGGCTGTGCCCTCACAGCCATAACGAGGGCCTTTCAAAAGGAGCTCAAGGTGAGCAAGGTGGGCTGTTGTCTTAGCTAGGGTATTTTTCACTCTTTTTCTTTACTTGCTAGTACTGCTGCTCTAAAGCGTTTCACTAGTACTGCTGCCATTCCAACCATGAGTGACAACAAAAGGAGCTCAAGGTGAGCAAGGTGGGCTGTCCCGCACAAGGAGGGTAGAGCTTTTTCCCTTACTGCCGGCCCTACGTTGCCAGTGGCGCATGGGGCTGTGCTCTCACAGCCAGTGGCGCATGGGGCTGTGCTCTCACCTCACAGCCATCACCCGGGCCAGTGGCGCATCGGGCTTTGCTTCGATCCCCCTCCAAGCCGTCACTCCCCCTGGTGGTCGCCAAGGCCAGATCTGCAGTCTCAAGCCAGGCCTCCTCTCAAGCCAGCCCTCCTCCTCAAGCCAGCCCTCCTCCTCAAGCCAGCCCTCCTCTCAAGCCAGCCCTCCTCTCAAGCCAGCCCTCCTGCTGTCTTAATGCCAGCTCTCCTCCTGTCATCTGGGGGCATCAACCACCGCTGCTGCTGCTGCTGCTGCTGCTGCTGCTGCTGCCGCTCAGAGCTTTGGCTTTATTCTTCCCCCCTCCCCACTCTGCCCCTCCCAGCCGTCACTCCCCCTGGTGGTCGCCAAGGGCCTCTCGGCCGCTCAATGCCAGCTCTCCTCCTCACCCACTGTCATCTGGGGCATGAAGGACCGCTGGCAGTCATTTCATGCCCCCCCTTGTTCCCCCCCTCTCTCCCTCCCTCTTCCCTCCCAGCTGTCACTCCCCCTGGTGGTCGCCAAGGCCCTCTCTGTCCCTCCTCCTCAAGCCAGCTCTCCTCCTGTCATCTGGGGGCATCAACCACCGCTGCTGCCGCCACTCGAATTTGGCTTGATAATGCTGCTGCTGCCACTCTCCTCCTCAGCCACAGTCGTCTGGGGCATGAAGGACCGCTGCTGCTGCCACTGGGCTTTTGCTTGATAATGCCTGCTTGTGCCCTCCCTCCTCACAGGCGTCCCTCCCTCCTCACAGGCGTCCCCCCCCCTGCTCTCCAAGGGCAGATCTACTGTCTCTGCCCTCCCCTCTCAATCCCCGCTGCTTGAAGAAGGGTTTTGAGACGTCTCAAAACCCTTCTTCAATCACGTGGCCCTCCCCTCTCAGTACCCGCTGCTGCTGCCACCACTGGGCCTTGGCTTGATAATGCCTGCATGTGCCTTCCATCCCCACAGGCGTCCCTCCCTCTGGTCTCCAAGGCCCTCTCAGCCGTCTCTGCCCTCCCCTCTCAGTCCCCGCTGCTGCTGCCACTGGGCTTTGGCTTGATAATGCCTGCTTGTGCCCTCCCTCTCTCTTTATCCCCACCCCTTACCAGGCGTCACTCCCTCTGGTCTCCAAGGCCCTCGCTGCTGTGTCTGCCCAGCCCTCCTCCTCTTCCACCGTTATTTGGGGCATGAAGGACCGCTGGCAGTCGTTTGACGGGGTCAGGGAAGCGTGCAGGGCAGCCGGGGCCGTTCTAGTGACTCTGGACGAGGTGAGTGAGTGGCTCGTACATGCCCCACATGATGAGCACATGCCACGTGTCAGTACATACAGACAGAGGAAGGAGGACCCTCAATTGGTAGTAAGTTATGAAAACGACTCAGTGTCACGCCAACCCTCCTCATGTGGGGCATGAAGGACGACCGCTGGCAGTCTTTTGACGGCGATCCTGACACTTGTAGGGCAGTCTTTTGACGGGGATCCTGTTCTAGTGACTCTGGACGAGGTGAGAGCAGATAGAGGAAACAAGAGTCAGTGTCACGCCAACCCTCCTCCTCATGTGGGGCATGAAGGAGGACCGCTGGCAGTCTTTTGACGGCGTTCGAGAAGCGTGGGGTCAAGCCAGCCTTCCTCCTCATCCACTGTCATCTAGGTGACTTTTGAGTCGACTCAAAGTCGCCTCACCCATAGTGCCCGTTCTTGGGGTCAAGCCAGCCTTCCTCCTCACCCACTGTCATCTAGGTGACTTTTGAGTCGACTCAAAAGTCGCCTCACCCATAGTGCCCGTTCTTGGGGTCAAGCCAGCCTTCCTCCTCATCCTCTGTCATCTGCGGCATGAATGTCCGCTGGCTGTCCTTCCAAGGAGTTCGTGAAGTGTGTTGAGCGGCAGGGGCGGTGCTTGTGACTCTACTCGAGATGAGTGCAGAGGGATTGATGCATGGGTGTAGAGGGAATGACGCATGGGTGAGGCAACTGTCACGCCAGCCCTCCTCCGCAGCCACGGTCATGTGGGGCATGAAGGACCGCTGGCTGTCCTTTGATGGGGATTGGTTGGGAGGCTTAGCAGGGGCTGTTTTTGTTACTCTAGACGAGGTGAGTGTTGAGGAAATGAGGACAAGATGTTTTCTAAGGTTGCAAAAGCATCCCTTAACTTTCATTGAGCTGTCCCCACATGTGTTGTGCCAACTATATCTTGCTCTTTGTGCCCCTTTTTTCTTTATCCCGCCGCATCTTCATTTTTCTTCGCTGTTGTTTTCTTCTTTCCTTGCATGAATTCCTTTCCGAGCAGGTGGGGCATCATGCACAGGAAGATTATGGAGAGGAGGTGGGGCGAGTAATTCGAAACTTTCTTCGGCGCACTACATGACAGATTTCTATTGCATCAGTATTATACGGTAGTATATGTGTGAATAACTTGTGGTATTTGCATCTAATTGAAACTTTCACGGTTCGTTTAGAGTCAGTGAACACTCTCGAGTCTTCTCTCTGACAACGGGATGCCCTAAACCTGATATAGAACTAAAGGGCCTGTTTGAGAAACAATCCCCTTCGTGGGCTTGTCTCTGGTCGACACAACCATCACCATACCGTGTCAAGCCGCTTAACGTGTCAGCCATTTGTCGTGACCACTGCCCGCAAAGGACGTCCTGTGGTGGCTTTTCCTGGAGTTGCGTGGCAGAACTCTCACTGTACTACGCTTGTAAAAAGCGGGCAGGTGCCTTCATCCAAGGCCCCAATCAGTAACCAACCAGGGATGCGACAGTTTTCCGTTGTCCGGGTGTGCCTTCGTCGGTTACCATCTCGGTTAATAAAGCTGCTGTGAGAGACTCGCGAAACTCGAAAGTCGTTAATATGTGGTGTCTAATTCTCGTTAACGCTGCTGAATTTTTGCCTGACCCTGATAATAATTCCCCGCTGACCGCTTACTACGATTTTCAGCGTTGCAAGACAAGCGGGAACGACATGAGGAGTCGTCGTGTCAGCCAGAGCTGTTTGCGACGGGATGGGAGGGACAGGCTGAATAACCTGATCGACATCATATTGTATTAATGCCCTTTTAAACCGTTCTTTCACAAAGATAAACCGAACTGTAACGATCAGTTCTCCGGTACTTGCTCTGATAACCAGCCACCGTCGTGTGTGTATTCCCAAAGCGTTTCTGTCAATCAGTCTTCATTGTCTGTCACAGGCAAGACAGACCTAGAGTCCAGCTAGCAGTCTAGAAACGTCGCGTCTTTCCAAACCGGACCTCCCTTACTGGTCACCCTGCACGGACAAGACGTAGGGTCTTTTCTGGTCCATGTCCGGCTCTTTAAACAATTCTGAACGCGTCCTGGTAGCACAGCTTTCCTGTCACTCTTTGGTAATAGCCACTTATCAAAATCATCATGGCGTCTAGGAATCGTGCAGGTAACGGTATACCAGGCCAGGAGGGCACGGAAGTCGATTGGGCGACGATTGTACGACCCGATCCTCCTTTCGTTCGGTGGATTAAGGAGCATCACTCTGCCGCGTTAACCCGCTGCGACGCCGACGAAAACGACGAAAGCGACGCCGACGACGGAGACGACTTTGGTGACGACGTTAGCGACGACTTGAGCGACGACGATGGCGAGAGCGACGACGATGACGAGAGCGACGACGATGGCGAAAGCGACGCCGAAAACGACGACGGCGAGTCGGACGACTCGTACGATATCGACGAGTACCACCTCGGAGAGCGGCTCGGAAGGGCGTATGACTCAACAGAAGACACGTTTCGAGACAGGGAAACGGATCGAGAGAGGGAAACGGATCGAGACAGAGAAACGGATCGAGACAGGGAAATGGATACAGAGGCCGAAACGGGTCGCGTGGAGGAGCAGGGTCGCGTGCGGAAACCGGATCGCGTGGAGGATTCGGGTCGCGTGGGGGAACCGGGTCGCGTGGGGGAACTGGGTGGTCTCGAGGTCCCTTGGTACGAACTACGGGGATGCGAGAACGAAGACGAGATAATGGCGGAGCTCGCGGCGCGGAGGAGCCTTTGGAGCGATGCGGAGCTGATGGAGCTCGCAGCGGCTGTCGTTTTCTGCCGGCGCAGCGAGGAGGCGACGCGACGGAGCATTGGTCAAGATTACTGGCGACAGGTGCGGCGCGTGATCTGGCGGGTAAAACCGCTCTAAGAGCATTTGTCATATATGGCAGCAAGTTCTGAAAACATTGTAAACAAACACTGCAACTTTCTGAACATATTTTTTAACAAAAAGAGTTGTTGTTGCTGTCGTGTATACTCTTGGCAGGTGTGGCGCGTGCTCAGACGCGCCAACCCCGAGTGGCGGCGCGTTCCGACGGCAATGGCGAAGCAGTGGGAGCGCATGAATACGCGCTACGACCAGGAGATTCACAATCAGCGGCGGAAGCAGAAGCGGCGGAGGAAGCGGGGGGGGACGGTGGGGGGCTCAGTTGAGCAGCGGCAGGGAGGGGCTACTAACGCGGATGATCAGCCTAATAACGAGTCAGGGGGGAACGCAGGGGCGCAGGCAAAAGTGAGGGGAAGGCCCAAGGGGAGGCGGAAGGGTAGGGGGACTAGGACAGAACCAGCATGGTTTGAGTACATTCGATTGTTCAATGGGACTGAGCTTGAGGCGAGGAAAAAAATGGCAGGAAAACAGGCTAGAAGAGCAGCTAGGGTGGCTACTGCTGTTGCTGTTGCTACGGGGTTTACAGAAAGGAGGCAGCAGCCTGCTGAAATGCCAGCTTATGCGTTTCCTGGCAGCATTGGTTCAGGTTGTGGAGAGATGGGAAGGCAGCCGAAGGGGCCGCAGCAGCAGGAGCAGGAGCAACAGCAGCAGCAGCAGCAGCAGCAGCAGCAGCTACCGTTCTCTTCACCATCTGCTCTCCTCCCTCTACCAGCAGCAGTGCCACCCACTGTCTCCCCTGTCGCCCCTGAGGGACAACCCTCCGACTCAAGCCAACCCTCCGACAACTACTTGCAAAGCCTTCGCAGCAGAGTCACTCAAGTTCCCAAAGCCACAGGTCCCGGTGCCTCTACTCTTCCTGACCCGATGCAAACACATGGTGGGCCGTCAGATTCTGACTTGATCCGAAACAACGGTGGATACGACTGCAGCCTGCTGCGGCTGCCTGGGAATGGGGTTACGTTTACTACAGGTGCTACAGTAGAGGGTGATTTGAATTCTCGGGGGGGTTCACTGCATGAAAGGGGTCGTAGAAGGGAGCAGCAAGAGCGGAATGAGAGAAGATCTGCAAGGAGAGGAATGGAGAGGTCTACAGGAGGTGGAAAGGGCTCGAATGCAGGGGTTTCGGGCGAGAGGTGGGGCGAGAGGGGGGGCAGGAGGTTGGGTGAGAGATTGAGTGCAGCCATGGGTGCTGCTGTGAGAAACGCGTGTGTTCAGTTTGATGAGCTCACAAGAGAGTTGCTGCAGGATGCTTACTTGCGGTTTGAGGAGCTTTCACAGCGACTGGCAGAAGATGCTTCTGCTCAGTTTGAGGAGATTGCGAGAGAGTTAATGGAGGAGACTGCGGCGGCTTGCCGAGATGGCAAGAGGCGCAAGAGGAGGTAAGTAGTACGAGTGGTGAGTTGCAACCTGGGTGAGAGATTGGCAGAAGATGATTCTGTTCAGTTTGAGATTGCGAGAGAGCTAATGGGGGAGACTGCAGCGGCTTGCCGAGATGGCATGTGGAGGTAAATTGTACAGGTGTGAGTTGTGTCGAAGCAGGAGCAAGGAGCTCACTTGGGACTCAGGAGTTGCTAGAAGATGCTTTTTCTCAGTTTAAGGAGCTGTCACTACACTACTATCGGCAGAAGAGGCTTCTGCTCAGTTTGAGGAGATCGCGAGAGAGTTTATTGAAGATATTGTTACAACTAGTTGAGCTTGCAAGAGGTGCAAAAGGGGGTGAATTGCATGGAAGCAAATTGGTGGTGCACAAACTTACAGATTTCAACAGATTTCACTGCACCATGAGTCTCAGCCTTTTACCCCTAACGTTTTGCAATTCACTGCAGCTCCAGTAAACTAAGTGGTGATGTTGAATGATTGTGCAGAGGGTCGTTGTTTTCAAGGGTTCAAACCGTTTCTGTAGGTTTCATAAGCTTCAAAAAGGTGCGGTAAATAGTGCGGTGGCTGGGTCGATATTGGCGATCAGGCCGACACTTGAATCCCGTTGCAAGCCTGGGTCCGGCCCTGCGAACAACCCCAATATTGGCTGGACAGACACCAATTCGCGACAAGTTTTTCGGACAGGCGAAGACGGACAGGCGACACTGTAACCAACTACAATTCCGTAGCTATCGTTGTTGCCTTCGCCAGCCACCGCCTAGGTTTCCAGCGCCACTAAAGTGATTTGCGAAACTACAAATCGTCAACTGCGGTGTTCGTCTTTCGTTGACGCTAGTTGATTGTTTTATCTGACCCTGTTTGTGCTGACCGCGTGCTACATTATTCAGCGTTGGACAACAAGCGGGATTCGGGGGAACAAGTCGAGTCAGCAAGAACCGCTCTTGGGAACTCCAGACAGGTCAGGCTGCCTCCAATCGGGACCAACGCCAAACCCTGTACAACCGTTCTGGATATTCCTGCACCGATCTGAAACGATCGTTTGTCTAAAACTTGCTGAGACAACATACCTGCCACCGATCTTATTCCCAAAGTGCTCTGTTGAGGAGTTTATACTCTGTTACGGGTAAGGCAGAAGAAGAGTCCAGCATACAGTCTAGGGTCATCACGTCTTGTCCAGCTGGTGTTTTCTGGTCCTGGACCAGCTGTTTGGACGAATTCTGAACACGTCCTGGTAGCACGACTTTCTGGTCTCTCCTTGGCAATAGCCTCACTCCAGAATTATCATGGCTTCTTGGAATCGTACAGGTAACGGTAACGGTAACGGTACGGTCACGGAAATCGATTGGGCGGCGATTGTGCGACCCGATCCTCCGTTCGTTCGGTGGATTAAGGAGCATCACGCTGCCGCGTTAACCTGCTGCGACGCCGACGAAAACGACAAAAGCGACGACGATTACGACGACTTTGGCGACGAATTTAGCGACGACTTCGGCGACGGCGACGACGATGGTGAAATCGACGCCGAAAGATACGGCGAGTCGGACGACTCGTACGATATCGACGAGTACCACCTCGGAGGGCGGTTTGGAAGGCCGTATGAGTCAACAGAACGAGACAGGGAAACGGATCGAGACAGACATACGGATCGAGCGAGGGAAACAGATGCAGAGGCCGAGGCAGATCGCTTGGGGGAGTTGGATCGCGTGGGGGAACCGGGTCGCGTGGTGCAACCGGGTGGTCTCGAGGTCCCGTGGTACGAGCTCCGGGGATGCGACAAGGAATGGGAGATAATGGAGGAGCTCGCGGCGCGCCCGAGGACCCAGCTGTGGAGCGATGCGGAGATGATGGAGCTCGCAGCGGCTGTCGTTTTCTGCCGGCGCAGCGGGCAGGTGATGCGGAGAAGCAACCTCGTTTACTGGCGGCAGGTGTGGCGCGCGATCCGGCGCGCGAACCCCGAATGGCGGCGCGTCCCGACGGCGATGCAGAAGCAGTGGGCGCGCATGAGAGCGCGCTACGACGCGGAGACGCGCGACCCGCGCCGGATACGGTGGCGGAAGGGGCAGGCGGGGGTGCCGCGGCGGGCGGGGGTGCCACCGTCCCCCGCAAAGGGAATACCCCCGGGCGCGGAGCAACAGGCGGGGGGCTCGGTTGAGCCGCGGCAGGGAGGGTCTACTAACGCGGATGAGCATGAGCAACCCAATAACGAGTCAGGGGGGAACACGGAGGCGCGGGGAAAGAAGCGGGGAAGGCCTAAGGGGACGGGGAGGGGTACGGGCAGGGGGCTGGGGGCAGAACCTGCATGGGTTAGGAATACGACAGAACCGCCATGGTTTGAGTACGTTCGACTGTTCTATGGGATTGAGATTCAGGCAAGGAAAAACGTGGCGGCAAAAAGGGCTAGAAGGGCAGCTTGGGCGTCTGCTGGTGTTGCTGTTGGTACGGTGTTTGCGACTTGGAGGCAGCCTGCTGAGATCCCAGCTTATGCGTTTCCTGAGTGCATCGGTTCAGGGTGGGGGGAGACTGGACGGCAGCGGCAGGAGCAGGAGCAGCAGCAGCAGCAGCAGCAGCAGCAGCAGCAGCAGCAGCAGCAGCAGCAGCAGCAGCAGCAGCAGCAGCAGCAGCAGCAGCAGCAGCAGCAGCAGCAGCAGCAGCAGCAACCCTCTAACTCGAGGCAACCCCTTGATAACTACCTAATGAGCCTTCGCAACAAAGTCTCTCAAATTCCCAGCACCATAGGTCCTGCTGGTGCGTCTACAGCAGGTCTGCTTCCCGCTGGTGGGTCTACAGCTCCTGACACAATAAGAGGATCAAATCCTGGTGGGTCTACAGTTCCGGACACAATAAGAGGATCAAATCCTGGTGGGTCTACAGCTCCTGACACAATAAGAGGATCCAATCCTGGTGGGTCTACAGTTCCTGACACAATAACAGGATCAAATCCTGGTGAACCTTCAACTCTTGACCTGATGCGAAAATACGGCGGATTTGACAACAGCCTGCAGCACATGCCTGGTAACACAGTTACGTTCGCTACTGGTGCTACAGCCCCCTTCCCTGCTACAGCCCCTCTGTCTGGCCCCTATTTTGCAACAGCCCCCGGGTCTGGTACAGCCCGCTGGCCTGCTACAGCCCCTGGGCCTGCTGCAACCTCTTGTTTCGTAACAGCTTCAGGGCCTGCTGCAAACCCCCTGCCTGCTGCAACCCCCTGGACCTCTGCAACCCCCTGGACCTCTGCAACCCCCTGGACCTCTGCAACCCCCTGGACCTCTGCAGTCCCCTGGACCTCTGCAGTCCCCTGGCCCTCTACAACCCCCTGGCCTGCTACAGCCCCCTGGCCTGCTACAGCCCCCTGGCCCGCTACAGTCCCCGGGCCTGCTGCGACCTCTTGTTTTGCAACAGCTTCCGGGCCTGCTGCAACCCTCTGGTCTGCTACAGCCCCCTGGCCTGCTGCAACCCCCTGGCCTGCTACAGCCCCCTGGCCTGCTACAGCTCCCTGGCCCTCTGCAGTCCCTGTGCTGATTACATACCTTCAGCCGACAGGTTATGAGCCTGTATCAGCCCAGCCTGTATCAGCCCAGCCTATATCAGCCCAGCCTGTATCAGCCCAGCCTGTATCAGCCCAGCCTGTATCAGCCCAGCCTATATCAGCCCAGCCTGTATCAGCCCAACCTGTATCAGCCCAGCCTGTATCAGCCCAGCCTGTATCAGCCCAGCCTGTATCAGCCCAGCCTATATCAGCCCAGCCTGTATCAGCCCAACCTGTATCAGCCCAGCCTGTATCAGCCCAGCCTGTATCAGCCCAGCCTGTATCAGCCCAGCCTGCATCAGCCCAGCCTGTATCAGCCCAGCCTGTTTCAGCCCAGCCTGTATCAGCCCAGCCTGTATCAGCCCAGCCTGTATCAGCCCAGCCTGTATCAGCCCAACCTGTATCAGCCCAGCCTGTATCAGCCCAGCCTGTATCAGCCCAGCCTGTATCAGCCCAGCCTGCATCAGCCCAGCCTGTATCAGCCCAGCCTGTTTCAGCCCAGCCTGTATCAGCCCAGCCTGTATCAGCCCAGCCTGTATCAGCCCAGCCTGTATCAGCCCAGCGTCAAGGGGCAGCTGCAGCACCACCGGGTGATTTGACTGCAGCACCGGGTGATTTGACTGCAGCACCGGGTGATTTGACTGCAGCACCGGGTGATTTGACTGCAGCACCGGGTGATTTGACTGCTGGGGGCGGCTCACTGGGTGGTAGGGGTGGTGGGATGGAGCAGAGAGAGCAAATGGAGGGAAGTTATGAACCTGCAGCAGCCCTCGTGAATAGCGCAGCAGCCACTGGTGGTGGTGATTGTTTGACTGCTGGAGCAGGCACGCTCCATGGTTCGACTGGTGGGATGGAGCAGAGAGAGCGAAGGGAGGGAAGGTATGAGCTCGCAACAGCCCAGAGACAAGGGGCAGCAGCCACTGGTGGTGGTTCGATTAGTGGGATGGAGGGGAGGGAGCAAAATGATAAAAGGTTTTTTTGGAGAGGAAAAGATTGGTCTACAGAAGGTAAAAAGGTTTTAAATGCAGGGGTTTCGGGCGAGAGGGTGGGTGAGAGGTTGAGTGCAGCCATGGGTGCGGCTGTGAGTACAGCCCCCCTGCCAGGGGATTCGAGCGCAGGGGTTTCGGGCGAGAGGTTGGGCGACCGGTTGGTTGACAGATCGGGTGAGAGGGTGGATGAGAGGTTGAGTGCAGCCATGGGTGCGGCTGTGAGTACAGCCCCCCTGCCAGGGGATTCGGGCGCAGGGGTTTCGGGCGAGAGGTCGGGCGACCGGTTGGTCGACAGATCGGGTGAGAGGGTGGGTGAGAGGTTGAGTGCAGCCATGGGTGCGGCTGTGAGGAATGCATGCGTTCAGTTTGATGAGCTCACTCGGGAGTTGCTAGCGGATGCTTACTCGCGGTTTGAGGAGCTCTCACAGCGATTGGCAGAAGATGCTTCTGCTCGGTTTGAGGAGATTGCAAGAGAGCTGATCCAAGGAGACTGCGGCGGCTTGCCGAGACAGCAAGAGGCGTAAGAGGAGAAGCAATGAATTGTACAGGTGATGAGTGTCAAACTATAATGCTGCTTATGTCGTGTAGGCTGTAGTGGGGTAGCCTATATGGGGTACAACCCAATTAGGGTTAGTACTTGTATTCTGTTTGATGTCAATGCAATCACCGTATTCTCCCGGACATAACACCCTAGGGTATAGCTAAAAATACAGGGAAAAAATGGGGGGGGGTCTCCTCATAGGGAAAAAATTCATAATGCCCGGGTCTTTACATATGGCATATCTTAGTGTTAGTGTTTTTTTAATTAGTCAATGTGGGTGTTTTGCTGGTCGTTTTAGCATCACTGCCTGAGGCGCGAATGTGAGTTTCGGCCTCGAACTTCATCGCCCCCACGAAAATGGCATGTGGCACCTCTCTTGCCACTTGCAACGGAAGATTCACCTGCACGTGGCGACAGAGAAATAGTGGGAGGGGGCAAATCTCGGCAGATTGCCTTTGAATGTACCGCGAAATTTCATTGAGGGAGAAATTCACACGATATTCTTCCGTATTGCAGCTACTCGTTAACGACTATAATAATGAATCCGTAAGAAAAGGGGGGGTGTTATAGAAAATCAGCCAAAAAGGGGGGTATAGTAGAAACGAGGTCTATCATAACACCCACCCCGCACAAGCTACCCGGGGGTGTACAATTATGGGGGGGTGTTTTGTCCGGGAGTATACGGCATTCCTGCTCGTTAGTTTCTAACATGGTTTCAGAGCAGTAAGTCTGTAGGACCGTTTTTTTTCGGACCCACCATTCCTATTGACCGATTGCAGTTACCATGTTACCCCACGTCCTGCCCTGCGCTGCGCGGTCAGCGCGCGCCCTGCCCTGCCCTGACTTGCGTCGCGCTGCCCCGCGCACGCCCTGCACTACCTTGCGCCGCGCTGCCCCGCGCACGCCCTGCTCTGCCTTGCGTCGCGCTGCCATGCGCACGCCCTGCCCTGCCCTGCCCCGCGCACGCCCTGCCCTGCCCCGCGTCGCGCTGCCCCGTGCACGCCCTGTCCCACGTCCTGCTGCAGCCCGTGCGTCGCGCCATGCTGCCCTCCGCGTCGCGCCCTACGGCAGCCCGCGCGTCGCGCTCTGCTACCCCGCGCGTCGCGCCCTGCTGCAGCCCACGCGTCGCGCCCTGCTGCCCTGCACTGAGCGCGCCCTGCTGCTCGCGCCGCCCAGGCTGAGCCGCGCCGCCTAGCCCGAGCCGCCCTGCCCAACTCGATCCGCCCTGCTGCTCGTGCTAATGCTGCTGCTGGTGGAGGTGTTGCTAGGAGTGCTGGAGGTGCTGCAGCCTAGTCTCACCGAGCCGCTCTGTGAAAGAATGAGGAATGAATGAACTAGCAAGCAGGTGGGTACAAGTAGGAAAACCTAGAAATGTTGTACCCCATATAGTCTACCCCACTACAGCCTACACAGACTATAGCATATAAGTTTGACACACCCCCATAGGCAAAGTGGGGGAGAACAAGAGGTCACAAGACCAGTCAAGCAAAGCAAAGCAAGCTCAGGGTGGATCACAACGTCACCACACAATCCGAGCACAAGAGCAAGGCCAAAAGGCCAGTTCACATGCAAGATCATATATAAAGATAAACAGGCAAGTGCAGGTATAGAAAGATCACAGTACAAGCAAGGTCAAGAAGTGAGCAAGTGAGGCCAAGTAGGCACAAGACCTAGCATCGTACAGAAGCGCTGATGATCACAAGGCGGAAGTGCCTTGGTAAAGATATCAGCAGTGTTGGCCTCAGAGGCCACGTAAGCAAGGCGCAGCTGACCACGCTGCTGCAGCTCACGAGCAAGGAAGTAGCGAAGAGCAATGTGCTTCGTTCTGTGCTCCAGTCTGTGCTCCCGACACAAGGCCAGCATGGCCTTGTTGTCTACGTACAGAACTGGAGGAGAACGAGGCGGCTCTCCTAGGTCAGTCAGCAGGTAGGTGAGCCAGCGTAGATCCTGTGCAGCCATGGCCACCGCGTAGATCTCAGCCTCACAGCTGGAGCCAAGAACAGAAGAAGAGCGGGTAGACCGCCACGAGACAGAGCCGGAACCAAGGCTGAAGGTGTAACCCTGTGACGACCGCTGCGTAGCCTGGTCGTCAGCCCAAGAAGCGTCTGCGTGACCTGTGAGGACCACTCGACGTCGCCCTCCAAGCACTAGCCCCATGCCCGACGTACTGCACAAGTAGCGCAACACCCTCTTCGCTGCAGCCATGTGCTCTGGTCGGTGTCTCCCAGGAGCAACATAGCGTGCCAAGATGCTAAGAGGGTATGCTAGGTCAGGTCGTGTGCAGGTCATCAGGTACATGAGGCAGCCAACAAGCTCTGGGTACGGGCCACTCGGCTCTACGGACTCATCCGAAGGCAGAGCTGAGAGCGAGTGGCGAGTAGACAGAGGAGTGGCCTGAGGTGAGGAGTACGTGAAGTCGAAGCGCTGAAGGACCTGCTGCACCATGTGTGACTGAGTCAGGGTAATGGTGCGCTGTGCTCTGTCCCGGGTGATCTGCAAGCCAAGGTAGCTGCGCAGTTCACCCAGGTCTGTGCACGTGTGTCTCTTCTGCAGCTCGGACTTCACGTGGGCTAGTCCAGCAGTGTCAGCAGTGGCAAAGACCAAGTCGTCGACGTACACGAGGATGTAGAACGGCGGCAAAGAGGTGTCGGTGCGCAGAAACAGCGACGGGTCGGCAGTAGAAGGAGCAAACCCAAGAGCCGCAAGTGTAGTCCTCAGTGTGTCGTGCCACTCACGGGGCGCCTGGCGGAGACCGTAGACTGGCCGCCGGAGGCTCCACTGGGTACCAGGGGGAAACGACCCAGTGAAGCCAGGTGGGCGGCGCAGCCAGATCTCCTCGTGCAGGCTGCCCTGCAAGAAAGCTGTGCTGAAGTCAAGAGAGTGAAGCTCGTAGTCGCGCTGAGCGGCTATGTGCAGCAGCACCCGAAGAGTGGTCATCTTCGGGGTGGGAGAGAAGGTCTGAAAGTAGTCAACTCCCTGCCGCTGACTGAAGCCACGAGCCACGTAACGCGCCTTGAAGACAGGCGGAGAACCCGGCGGCCGCTTCACACTGAAAATCCACATGCCACTGACGATGTTCGCCCCAGGTGGGGGAACCTCGTCGACGTAAGTGCCTGTGGACTTCCAAGAAGCCATCTCTGCGTCCATGGCTGACTGCCACTGAGAGGAGTAGGGACCCTCGATCGCCTCAGCGTACGATCGAGGAGTCGGGATGTCTGGTGCATCCGGGTCTCCCTCAGGGGCAATCAGCGTGGACACGAGATGAGGCAAAGCAGCAGCAAAACACTGGAACTCCTCCTGCCTGTCCTCAAGGACGTCCGTGCTAAGAGCACACTCACCCCCGACGGACGGAGGACAGACAGACTCAGACTCAGCAACAAGACTAGCAGCATAGTCTAGACGACAGCGAGCAGCAAAGTCGACAAGCTCAGCAACTAAGGCAGACGCAGCAGTGGACTCAAAGGAAGGGTCAGTGACAACAGTAGCCAGGAGACGCGTGACAGTAGGACTGGCAGCACGAAGAGAGTCAGACTCCGGGTCAGCAAGGACAGGAAGAGAGGACTCTGGAGGAGACGGCAACGGGACACGCAGAGGAGCAGTGGAAGGACGCAGTGCCATCTGGTGTGTGCCTGGGACCGCAGGAGGACGCGGACGCGCAGTACGACCACCAGTGCGAGCAGCACGAACAGGCGACGCAGGACAAGACGCAGGCTCACGACGCTCAGCAAGACCTCCAGTAGGACCAGTGTAGGGAGAAGGAGCAGGCAGGGGCGAGGCGGGCTGTAACTGTGACTGCGACTGGACAGGCGGTGGACACTCTAAGGGAGGGGCAGGACCAGTGGAAGGCGGAAGACCAAGAACCTGCTCAAGGAGCGGAACGAAGTACGGCCTCGGCCGCGCAGCGCCAGCAACGCCAACAGCTCCAACAGCGCCAACTCCAGCACCCTCAGAAGCACCAGCGCCAGCAGCACCTCCAGCGCCAACACCTCCAGCAGCTCCAGCTCCAGCAGCTCCAGCAGCTCCAGTAGCACCAACTCCAGCAGGACCGGTAGCTCCAGTACCGCCAGCAGCTCCAGCAGTACCTCCAGCAGCCCCAGCAGCACCCCAAGTCCCAGCAGCTCCAGAACCGCCAGGACGAGCCCCTCCGGGACCAGCAGCAACAGTAGTACCTCCAGCTCCAGCAGCACGGCTCCAGCGCCGGGCAAACCACTCGCGCAGCTCCTGCGGAGAGAGTGGCTCCCGCCTCGAAGAAGTACATCGCGAGGCCACACGAGCAGACCCAGCACCCCCAGACTCAGCACCCCCAGACTCAGCACCCCCAGGCTCAGCACCCCCAGACTCAGCACCCCCAGGCTCAGCACCCCCAGGCTCCGCACCCCCAGGCTCAGCACCCCCAGGCTGCGCACCCCTGGACTCAGCACCCCCAGGCTCCGCACCCTCAGGCTCAGCACCCCCAGACCCGGCACCCGCAGGCTCAGCACCTCTAGCAGCACCAGAGTCAACAGCTACCTCGACAGGCTCGACTGCGTCTACCTGGGACACACCTGACGGGGCAGGACCCTGAGGGGGGAGGGGGTCTACCGGGGGAGGACCTGGCGCAAGGAAGAGCGGCGGCGGGGGGAGGGGCGCAGTGCGGTAGGGGAAGAGACGGTAGTAGGGCACCGACTCGTCAAAGGTGACGTCCTGGGAGGACAGAACACGGCGCGAGGTGGGGTGGTAAAACTGCCACCCAGGCGCGTCAGGGGGGAAGCCAAGGAAGACGCAGGGAACAGCACGGGGGGACAGCTTGTCCGCAGACAAGTCGCGAACAAACGCCCGAGATCCCCAGACCCGAAACGCAGACGCATCGCCAACCTTCCCCGTCCACCGCAGGGTGGGGGAGGTCTCTGGCAAGGAGACCCGGGGCTGGAGGTTGAGCTGATGCGCTGCGTACTGAACTGCAAACGGCCACAGAAAATGGGGGGCAGCCGCATGGATCATGGA